CTAAGCACAGATTGTGTGTTTTCTGTGAAAATTTAGGATCCTAAGTGAGAGGTTCTATAAAGATAAAATGCATCCTGGATTTAGAAGATGTGGTACCCCCTCAAAAAAACACAACCCCGGAAATAATTCATTGATAATTTTATGTTTGTTACATGTTAAAGTAATAATATTTTGGATGTACAGGGTTAAACAAAATGTATTATTGAAATTTATTTCATTTGTTTTTTTAAATTTTTTTATTTTTTTAAAGATTTTATTTATTTATTTGACAGAGAGAGATAGCGAGAGAGGGAACACAAGCAGGGGGAGTGGGAGAGGGAGAAGCCGGCTTCCCGCGGAGCAGGGAGCCCGATGCGGGACTCGATCCCAGGACCCTGGGATCATGACCTGAGCCGAAGGCAGATGCTTAATGACTGAGCCACCCAGGCGCCCCATCTGTGTTTTTTTTTTTTTTTTAATATGACTCCTGGAAAACTTTAAATTTCGTATGTGGCTTGTATTTATTCCTCTTGGACCGTGTTGGTCTAGGGGGTTTTGAAGGAGAGAGAAAGCCTATCATGAAAGATGTGGCTTTTGGACATTAACTTTCCAGAACTGGATCTGTCGGGTGGAGAGGGCAGAGGGCATCCCTAGGAGGGGAGACCGGGCACTGGGATGACTGTGAGAATGCCTGGGATGCTGAGCGTGTGGGGGAGCCCTGGGCATCGTGTTTGGGGAACAGCAGTGGGACAGGCCCGGTCAGGATGATGGAGGCCATGGTGTGGGTTGCCTTGAGCCGCCACGCTGAGTGGCGGTGCTCAGTCTAGTTGGGCCTAGAGGGAGCTAGGAGGCTTTCGAGCAGGAGCAGAGTGGTAAGAACAGCTTTCGGGATATTTATCCGGCTGCAGGGTGTAAATTGAGAGGCGGTGGGGAGAGCTGGAAACACAGAGAGATGTTTTGAAGCCCCCAGCAGTAATTTTGGAAGTACCCTATGGGGCAGGAGTGTTCCTTTTAGTCAAGAATTCAAAAACAAAGAAACAAATATATGAACACATGATAAAACTTCGCACAGTTCTTATACAAATAAACATAGGCCTTATTCACCCTCCATTTCCTACAAATTACCCTGTGCGGTAATTTCTTCCCCTTTAAGTTTTTAATGTTTCTTTCTTTTAACTCCTGTGCAGCAATAATGTAACTTGGACATTGTCCTGGAGTCTGGGATGGAATTCTGTTAGTCACTTGTAAGTGGGCCTGTTCACTTTGCTTATCACAATCTCCAAAAAATGTGAGTCCCTTGGAGCCAAGAGTCATAGGAAATAAAGATTTTGCGAAAGGAATACTGATGACTACAGAGGATCCGTGAAGTTCATGGATCCTAGAATTGTAGGACAGAAAGGGCCTCCAGGTCTCATCCAGTTCCAGCTCTCACTTCACTGAGGAATCGGCCCAGAGAGGTCCCAGACATGGCCAGGACCACACAGCTAGTTAGCGGCAGAACAGCAACTAGAATCCAAGCTCCGGGTTTTCAGGCACCTTCCACCCTGCCACATATTGGAATCTGTCTGCTAGGAACGTTAAGCCTCTAATGAATCCAGAAAGAGCAGACGAAACCACGAAGAAGTGGGAAAAGTAAGAGTTGGAGCTACTGTAGGGAGAGAGGTTACATGAGTACAGGCAGCCCTGTGAATAAAAGGCCCGGGGCCCCTCTCCTCTGTGCTGTAGCCTCGGAATATCATTGGTTGATCCCCCATTAATGGCTCAGGGACAGCTGCCCAGTGTTGGGACACCCGGGAGGAACACTTAATCCCCCCTAAGGAGGGGCTGTAGGGTGGAGGGCCAGGCCTACCACCACCCCGGGGAAGGTTTTCGGTGCCCCAGCCTCTTCCTTTACATGTTTGCAGGGAAGAAAGAAGCATTGGAGTACTAAAGAGGGTGAGACATTGAGAAAAGGTGGGAGAGGGAGAGTGTCCAGGGGTCAGCCGAAGGCCTGGCTCGAACGTCAACGTGCGGAACGTTACAAAGGCTCTTGAAATAGCGGTCACAGGTGAAGGCGGAGACGGAGGACGGCCTCCCTGTGTTGCAGGGAGCTAAGTAAATAAGCACAGACGTCAAATGTTCAGAGTTGGGTGGGGGCTGGGCTGGACTAAGAACTCTGCAGAAAGTACCAGAATGTTTTTGGGTTTAATCGCCGAGCCCTGTTCTATTAGATGGCACCTGTGGAGTTGCTCACATTTCAGGAAATGTTTTCTGCTTGGGGATCTTTCAGAGGAAAACATAAAAACCCAGCCTCAACTCTGAACCAGTCCAGAGTCCGAGCCACAATTACAGCTTATGAATGAATAGCTTGGGCTTTCTTAAGGAGTCCTTAGGCTGCTCAATGAATTTGCTTACAGGCATGTGTTTTATACATTTCCTTGAAAATGAAAACCCAACGATAATCATTAAATAATTGAAGTATTCATCCTATGAAAACCAACCCGTGACCCCTGGTATAAACCACACAAACCGGCATCATCCCAACTCTGCCGTGTTCTTCTGTCCACGCATAGCCAAGTGGGCATAAAGCAAGAGCAAAAACACCAGCAAACATTTGGCTTTTGGTTAGACATTAAAGCTCAGACAGTCATTGAACTTCTTGAACTCTGTGGCTTCAGTCCAGGTTGGAAAGCTGGTCAAGCGAGTAAAGCTGAGGGTAGAGTGTGTGTTCTTTTGTTCTTGCAGGCTTTGAAGATTGTTTCAGGGTTAATGTTTGACTTTGGGTCTTAACTATTTTATGCTTTGGTTTGCTCACATGCAAGCAAAACATAAATCTTGCAGTGAAGGAAGATCTCACTTTTTCATTAATGTGAAGAGTATAAACTTTTTTTTTTTTTGGAGGGTAAAGCAGAATGATAAAGTGCTCAGGGTCTGCAGCAGTGTGGTCCAATAGAAGTATAATGTAAGCCACACATGCAGGCCACACATGACATGCTAACTTTTCTAGAAGCCACATTAACAAAAAGTAGAGCAAACAGGTAAAATGAACTTTACTAACATTTCATTTTCTCCAATATATTCAAAATATTATTTCAACATGTAATCAATATTTTAAAAATTATTAATGAGATATTTTATATTCTTTTCTTCATACTAAGTCACCAAAATATAGTGTATATTTTATACTTAACTGCACACCTCAATTCCAACTAGGCACATCTCAAGTACGCAGTAGCAATATGTGGCTAGTGGCTACAGTATTGGGCAGGACAGCTCTAGAGTCAGATTGTATGGACTTAGAAACTGCCTGACTTTGAGCAAGTTACTTAGGTGTCCTGTGCCTCAGTTTCCCCATCTGTAAAATGAGAATAATAATAGGATCTGCCTTATTGGGTTTGTCATGCAGACAACATGAGTAAATACACTTAAGGCCCTTCATGCAGCGCCTGGCCTATATTTGATCAATCTGTGGCAACTATCATTATTAGTTTTGACAAAAGTACACAAGGGAAAAGTGTTTGTGTTTCTCCAAAATATAGTACTTCCAAACCAAGTGAAATTGAATTAAATTTAGAGCTTAGATCTTTTTTGGGGCAGTGGGGGGGGGGGCGGATTATTTATCAGCCCAAACTAGGAACACATACTCAAAGTACTTTCATTTTTTATTTCCTCAAACCAGCAAAATATAGAATGGCCTTTCATCTACGCCTATGGCAAGAGAAAGCAAGACTAGTTCAACTACCTATGGGTTGTTTCCCAACTCGTCAGTAATAGTTAAGGCAGCTGAATAGTTTTGTGTGTTTGTAAAAGTGCATGCATTTAGGTTTTGAGGGGCAGAATTTAGATATTGGAGCTTTTAAAGGAATAGAACATTCTGTGTTAAGCTGGAATTCCTCACCTTGTTTTCTAAAGCAGATTTGCCTCAGAGTGACAGTCACATCCTGGGTGACTTCTGCATTGTCCCTGATCTCAGCGCTTCATTTTGGTGCTCAGAGGCACACCAGAGGAGTGGAACATTTGCTTTGTGGTCACAGGGGCCGATTTGTTATATGAATTTTTTCTTAATCCCTTCTTTGGCACCTGTGAATGAGCATAAGAGAGATGTAAGATTGGACGGGGCCAAGTGCTGAGGGCTATGTGCACGTGGCCAAGACCGAGGAGTGTTGCTCTCACTGGCTGCTTGGTAGTAGGAAGACCTACAGGGAGTCAGGAAACTGGCATTCAGGGCCCATTTGCCTTCATCCTTAGTTTTAGTGATGACACCAAACATCTCTGTGACATTTGCTCAAAGAACATTTGTATCTTTTGTAGGAGGTTTGAGGGGTTTGGGTCTGATCATGGAAAAAGATACGACCATGACAGGCAGTAACAAAAGCTTTATTGGGCCATGCTTGGGCAGGGTTGTATGAAAGGAAGAATCTCTCACAACATCAGACTGTCCAGAGGCTCCAGGAGGCCAACATCCAGAAGGGGAGGAGGGTGGGGAGCTCCTACCCGCAGAGAGGGGCGCGTGGGGGGGGTGGGGCTCAGCACTTGGTGGGTGGTGTCTGGGTCAGAGAGCTCTGAAGGGTCTTGCAATTACAAGTCTCTATCTTATCAATGGCCAGTGGGCACCCGGTGAAGTTTCAAGCGGTATGCAAAACTCTAGAGGTGGGCTCTAAATTGCTAAAAATTCTGCTTGTTTGGCTATTTTAAAAATAACCTGATGGGGGCGCTTGGGTGGCTCAGTTGGTTAAGACTCCCACTCTTGATTTTGGCTCAGGTCTTGATCTCAGGGTCATGAGATGGAGCTCCAAGTCAGACTCAGCGCTCAGCAGGGAGTCTGCCTGAGATTCTCTCTCTCTCCCTCTCCTCCTGCCCCCCACTCACCATCCCCCACCTCGTGCACACGTACGCTCTCTCTCTCTCTCTCTAAAAGAATAATATATAAAAAAAAATAACCCAATGTGTAAATATTTACGTTGGATGCCAGTGGGCTTTCGAATGAATGAGTCTCAGCTTACAGTGGAAAAATACACAGACTAGAGGCCAAAACACAGAAGTCATCTCTGACCGATTTATATCACAATCTTACATTCCCCGTGGGAACAGTGTGGTCCGGTGGAAAGAGCACAGGGGCAAACCTTGGGTTCAGGTGGTGGCTGTGCCCCTCCCTAGCTGTACCTTCAGTGGTCACTTGGTCTGTCGGGCCTCACTGCCTTCATCCATAAAATGAGGGGTGGGACAGATGGACTCTGAGTTTCCAGCTTTAAATATTTATTACTCTCAGGTTCTTGAAACATCCTCATGACGGTAGACAGGATCTGTTTTATTATTTCCATTTGTTGGATGAGGGACCTGAGGCCCAGAGTTGGTAAATGCTGAGCGTTTTATCAAATCTCACCCGGTTACCAGCAGAGAACTGGATTAGAATTCAGGTTTGGGGATGCATTGCTTCTTTGTGGGCAAAATAAGGGAATGAAATTAGCTCTGGAAATGAAATCAAAATTCTGCCACTGTAGCCCCAGCAAGAACTAACCCAGATTGAAGATTTATAGGCACGCCATCATATGATCGTTCTATTTTCTTTACATGTTTACGCTTATAAACATTTAGAAGTCTAGCACCGCTTCCTTCATTGCTGTCTATAAAATTGCAGAGTGGATGAGAGGTGATTCCTGAAGACCCCACACCTGGTGATGATGCATACAGGTGTCCGCATTTCTCCCACACCCACGGGGCTCTTACCATCCTGTGTTAATTTGTTAGGGGTGTGCTCTGAACCCTCACTTCTAACACAGATATTTTCTGTCATGATAATTACTATGAAGATTGGTTACTATTTTTAATAAAGCATATCAGTTACTTACCTGAATCAGTCTCAGAGGCTGTGCTTGAGAAATTCACTCTGTTTTACTCACCGTTGTTGGTTCTATACAGAGAGTTTGACTTCTTATGGTCAACAGCTAGGGAGCATCCCTTTCCGTAAGGAGGGAGGTTTACCTAAAAATAAACGAGTTTTAAAAACCTTATCCTGAGACTTGGCTAAATTGAAAAAATAAATCACTCAGGAGTTTCAGTGAATTTTTTGGCCCCCAAAGCTTCTCTATTTGTCCCAGAACGCTGTGTTCTCTGTGAAGCTATGTCCATTGGTTTCTGGCTCCAACATTTCAGAGGACTTTGTGACCCTGTTTTCCAGACCTGAGTTTAATTGGAGAGTTAATTATCTGAGCAAGAACACGTAAGCCAAGTTGAGTTTGGGGGTGAAGCCTGAGATCCCTGTTCCACCTCGGCAGACAAGAAAGTCTTTGTGAACCCTTGTTGATTATATTTTTACATAAGCAGATGTTCCATATAGCAGAGGCAAGAAACCAGGGAGAGGAGCCTGTAACCAGATCGTGTTTAGCTAAGATGAAGACAAAAGCTCCTTTATCTCCTTGCAATAACAGCCTAGGAAGACCTGAGGCCTGAGCTGGGAGGTCCTCGTTTCGGTTCCAAGCAGGCATTTGAGCTAAACAGGAAGGAATGAAGGTTCATTTGCTTGGCCTCAGCCTTTAGTCATGATTTCTGATTAGCATGTGCTTCTCAGATGAGATTCATAGGCACCTCGAATAATTTATCCTTCCTCTCATTCCAGGAATTTTTTAGTTCGGTATTTTCAGAAGTTTCTTTCTTTTAAATTCATTTGACTCAGGCTACTGGACCGCCTTCACTAGATCATGGTTTCCCTGGCAACTAACTGAAGGACCCATTCAAGTCTGTCCACAATGACCTTAGTGAAAATGATGTAACAATACTTAAAATAGGTGTCCCTTCTCTAGAGCACAGTTGGATTCCTCAAGCTTCTGATGGCTGTTTCTGCAAGAATCCTTCCCTCTGCCTTCCAAGTGCTGCACGTTTCGGTTCCCTCCAGATTCCTCTACCTCAGTAAGTTATTGTCTTACTACAGGGGGCCCACATGTACAACCTCAGTCTCCTCATCTGGGAAACGGGGATAATAGTAACAGTCCCACTTATCTCATAGGACTGGTTTCAAGAATAAGATGGTGATGTGAAGGTGTCTGCAATGCTGTAGAGTAGCAAACAGTGTGGGTTACACACGCCTGCTGAGACCAAGCAGGTAATGTGAATAAGAGCCGGAGACCAGGTCTAAGAAAAGTCACAGTCACATCCCCGTGAGAAGTGGCAAGTGACACCAGGAGACATTATCCAGCTTGTGGACTGTGGGAATGGAAGGCCCAGGCCCACTGATGGAAGCAGCTGCCACTTAATTTCGGCCAGTTGGGTTTTGGGGATAGGGGGCCAGGGTTACCAATTCTTCTGATTTCATTGTTGAAGAACAACCAGAAATCCAAACCCTCAAAAACATCTCCTAACTCTTGAATTTTGGCAATGAATTCATAGGAAACAGACACATGTGTGCACACAGACACGCCCACATTGAGTGGAACACAGACTATGGATCTGTTGTCTGGAGGCAACCCTCAGGTCACTGGTTTGAGACCCGTGTTAGAGGACATTCTTAGAGCCATATGTAAATCTGGAATGGGCTAGGTAGTGACCTCTGCTTTTATAATCTTGCCACAGAAAACAGGTTACACTCAGATTTACAATTTTTTTTTTTTTTAGAGAGAGAGCATGCATGTGAGTGAGTGGGGGGAGGGGCAGGGGGAGAGAGAATCCTGAAGCAGACTCCCCACTGAGTGGGGAACCCGATGCAGGGCTCCATTCCAGGACCCTGAGATCATAACCTGAGCTGAAAACAAGATTCGGTCACCCCCAGATTTACAGATATGTTAAGAATTTGTTAAGAACCACTGGAGAATGGCAAGAGGTGAAATGTACAAGGAGGTTATGTTGGCTCAATGTTGGGAGTAATTTATTGAGAATCAGAGCTGCTGAAAACAGTATGAAGATGTGCCAACCAAATGTAATACATGAACCTTGAGAAGATCCCAGATTTGGGGAGAAAAAAGAAGCAAGAAAAAAAGATTATTTTCAGGACGATTGCAGAAATTTAAATAAAGGCTGTATATTAGGTGGCATGATTTGATTAATGCTAATGTATTAGATGTGTGTGATAATAGCACTGTGGTTATAGAGGAGAATGTCTTTTTTCCTAGGAGATGCATGCGGAAGTACTTAGGATGAAGTGTCAGGATGTATACAACTTTGTTTCAAAGGTTTAGCTGAGGGTGGGGGTGGGAGAAGGTTTCAAGAGGGAGACAAAGAGGGAGAAAAGGCAAATGTCGCAGCAAAAGTGGTTAATCGAGGTGAGGTGTATTTATTGTACTCCTCTTTCAACTTTTCTGTAGATTTTATTTTATTTTTTTAAAGTAAGTAAAAAATAAGATAGGCTTTCAGATGAGGTACGTTGTGAGCTTCCTGTCCTAGGAACCATTCACATGGCTTTGGTTTGGAGTATTGCTGCAGTGGTTGGCTACCTGGACCTTGCGAAATGACTCTCAAGTTCCTTATTAGGGATCTACTAAGGGCAGGACCCAAAGATGTAAATCTAGGATGATTGATTGATTGATTGATTTATGAGAGAGAGAGAGAGAGAGAGAGAGAGAGAGCAGGGCAGGGCGGGGCAGAGGGAGAGGAAGAGAGAGAATCTCAAGCATGTCCTGTGTAGAACCTGACCCAGGGCTTGATCTCATGACCCTTAAATCATGACCTGAGCCAAAATCAAGAATCAGATGCGTAAGGAACTGAGCCACCCAGGTACCCCTGGAATGCTTTTAATTGTTCGATTCCTCAAGCCATCAATTGTTGTCTCCTTCCTTAAATGAGGTAATTTATATAAGCCAACAAGCACAGTTCTGGACACATGATAGGTGTATACCATCAAATATCATGTTTCTTTTCGTTTTTTTTTTTTTAATTTACCTATGGCTATACTTTGAAACAAGTATTGCATCTCAAACTACCAACACTTCACTAAAAATCATACTAGGAGTCAATTCCAGGGTGGGGGAAGTATTTTGGACTCCTAGCCTTGTATAACCTATCCAGGTGAGTTTTCATATTTAAACCCAAGAAATAATTTCATACTCACACTTGAAGAAATGATTTGAGGTTCTCACTTGAGGAATGCCCTTGTCCTCAGCTCCTGCTTAAGAACGAATAAAAAATATTCTACCTCAAATGTTTCAGAACGATCATCACACAAAGAGATATCAGAAGAAAACTAAACACTTTACACAGATATGTCAACATCTTTGGGAATTCATAGCTACAACCTAGAGTTCCAGATATAGACTCCTCTACTCAGATGCTGAATAGCCTCCCCTCTGGTGGGCCCCTCCAAACATCGGGCCGCTTGTGGGCATCCTAACCACAGCCCTCTTCGAGCTCACTCATACACAGAGTGGTCTGCTGTCCTCACAGGTCAGCTCCAAATGGGCACATATCTAAGGTCCGTAGTTGAAACCTTGTGTATTTGGACTTCTAAAAGTTTTTTCTGGACTCTGAAGCATATTTCCAGTTTGTTTGCCTTGGGAGTTGCGTCCATTTTGACTGTTCCTACCACCTCCTTAGAAACTATTCTCTCCAGGTAAGTTTACCTTAATGCATCTCCTTGGGACGTGGCTCTGCTCTCCAGAGGTACAAAGCCATGGGCCCCACCTTAGAGTCAGGCCTGCTGTGACATTTGTGGGGATTGGGCAAGAGTCAAAATGGAGGCCATATACAACATGTCTAATTTTTTAAACATTATAAAGCAAGTTTGTGAACTGTTGAATAAACTATGTTCTGTCCTCCTACCTTGGCAAATGTATCTCCTGTCAGTGCCATGCAGGCAGAGACCCCCAGGGACATACCTGTGGAGGAGCAAAGTTGGGAGGATTGACTCACAAAGTGAGGAAGACACCACACCCTATGGGGAGCCAAGGGGCATCTCAGTCAGTGTCCGCAAGGGCCTAGGAGGCATCCGGGTTTGTGATGGGCGATTGGGGGCGAGTTCAAGAAGATATGGCTCTGCTCTGGGTTAAATGGATGTTCTAAAGAAGTGGGAGTAGTCCTGAGATTGGATATCTTAACAAAGTGGGTAAGAGCTGTGATTGGTAAAAAAAAAAAACAAAACAACAAACAAACAAACAAACAAACAAAAAAACAGTCTCATTAGCCAGGGTAGGGGGATAAGTGGTCACGTTGTGGTTTGAATAAGGCCCTCGATTTTTTTTTTTTTTAGATTTATTTATTTATTTTTAGAGACAGAGAGAGAATCTCAAGCTGTCTCCCCACTGAGAGTGAAGCGCGACCTGGGGCTCCATCTCACGACCCTGGGACCGTGATCCAAGCCAAAATCAAGAGCTGGAGGCTCAATGGACTGAGCCACCCAGGCACCCAGTAATGTTCTTGATTTGGTCTGTGCTCACACATGGGTACAAGGAGGTCTTGGTTTTCTCTTGCTCTATCATGGTCACAGTGTGGTCTGTCTGTTGTTTGTGTTCTGTGAGATTGTTTATGCTCCGCTGGAGGACATCCCTGCTCACCGGGGTGCCACGGCCAGTTCCTGGTGATACCAAGCCTAGCTGATGGGGCTCTGCTGCCTTTCTTTTTCTCTTCTCTTCCCTCGACAAGGAGGACCAGGTTTGAATGTAGACATCCAGGACTCCTCAGTGTTCTGTGCCACAGCGTGGTGGGGGTGGGGTGGGGATGGGGTGGAGCCATCTCCAGTCCCCTTCCCCTCCCATTCCTGGCTTCTTCCCAGCCCTGTATTGATCTTCTGCTGTGAAAGGTCTGACACTCAGGAGCATGCACGTCCCATCCCACACATCCACACTGACCCGCGGCCACCACTTGGGCCTAGCCATCTGTGTGCTGGCAGGGAGGTGCGTCCTCAGGAGGGTGAACTCAGAGAAGAGGCCGCCCCCCTTCCCCAGGCCTGGGAAGCAGGGAATATGTGTTTTAGCTTCTTTTACCTTTTTAGACTTCATCTGTTGTTTTAGGGTTACTTTCTCCCCATTTTATGACGTCTTAGATTTCCCTCCATT